TAGATTTTTCTTCACCTCAAGTCCTCCATTTAAAAAATGCCTGTTTTTACATTCATTTGAGAATCCTTTATATTCATTGAAGTTGTAGCCACTATAATTAATAATCTAAAGGATGTAACTCTAGTAAACTCGAGATAAAGTTAATCAAATTCTCCCCCCCTAAAAGAAAAGTTTCGTCCTCGAAACTAACCTGAGTAAATCATGAAAATAGATGTGGGTACTTCTCGTGCATCTTATCCTTGCGTTCCCAAGTCGCCTCTTCAACTAGATGATTACGCCACAGTACCTTAACCAATTTAATGGCCTTTGTACGTAACATTTTCTTTTTCGAATACAAAATCTGAACAGGCATCTCTTCATACGAAAAATCCTCTCTAATCTGAAGTGGCTCATAATCTATCACATGCGACAGACTATGCACATATTTCCTCAGCATAGGCACATGGAACACATTATGCACTCCTGCCAACCTAGGGGGTAAAGCAACACGGTACGCAACCTCACCAACCTTCTCCAACACCTCAAATGAACCAATGTATCTAGGACTCAACTTTCCTTTCTTTCCAAACCTGATGACTCCTTTCCATGGTGATACTTTTAAGAATACCATGTCTCCAACATGAAACTCTAAATCTCTCCTACGATGATCAGCATAACTTTTTTGTCTACTCTGAGTAGTCAATAATCTCTCTCTGATGGTGATAATTTTCTGTGTAGCATCCTTCACCAAATCAAGTCCCAACATGTGCCTCTCACCAGCCTCATACTAACACAAAAGAGACCTACACTTCCTCCCATACAAAGCCTCATAAGGAGCTACTCCCAAACTAGAATGATAACTATTATTATATGCAAATTCCATAAGTGGCAAATAATCATCCCAATTACCTCTCCACTCCAAAGCACAAGCCCTCAACATATCCTTAAGGATTTGAATAGTCCTCTCCAATTGCCCATCTTTCTGAGGGTGATATGCTGAACTACAATTTACCCGAGTACCCATAGCTGACTATAACGCACCCCAAAACTTAGACACAAAACAAGGGTCATGATCTGGTATTATTGACATAGGTGCACCATGCAATCTAACAATCTCCTTCACATACAACTGTGCAAATCGAGCTAGAGAATAGTTCATCCGAACTGTAATAAAATGTACTGACTTGGTTAATCTATCAACAACTACCCAAACTGCATCGTGATTACTACTAGTGTGAGGTAATCCACACACGAAGTCCATGGTAACATGATCCCACTTCCACTCTGGTATAGGTAAGGGTTGTAGTTTCCCCGTGGGTTTTTGATGTTCTAGTTTAACCTGTTAACACACCAAACACTGAGCCACAAATTTTGCAATATCTCCCTTCATACCATTCCACCAAAAATGTTCATGAAGATCTCGATACATCTTAGTGCTTCCAGGATTTACGCTATAACTAGAACTATGTGCTTCCATCATAATCTCCTTCCTCAAATCACCACCAGCAAGAACACAAATTCGGCTACAGAATCTAAGCAACCCATCATCACTAACCGCAAAATCTACATGCTTACCCTCTTCATCTCTCCTTTAATACGCTCACACTGGGGGTCAATCTCCTGAGCTAAACGAATCTGTTCTCTCAAGGTCGGCTGAACTGTCAATTGACTACAATAAGCCCTATCACTAGGCGTAACAACCTCAAGCCTCAAACGTCTCATGTCTTCCACCAAACAACTCTCAATAGACAAAGCAGCTACATCTCTAATTGCGACCTTCCTACTTAAGGCATCTGCAACCACATTTGCCTTCCCCGGATGATATAAAATATTCACATCGTAATCTTTTAGTAACTCAAGACATTTTCTTTGCCTGGAATTTAGTTCCTTCTGTGTGAAAATATACTTCAAACTCTTATGATCAGTGTAAATCCCATATGACTCTCCATTCAAATAATGTCGCCAGATCTTAAGAGCGAAAATCACTGCTGCTAACTCCAAGTCATGTGTAGGATAATTTCTCTCATGTACATTCAACTGTCGTGACACATAAGCAATCACCTTCCCATGCTGCATGAGCACACATCCTAAACCTTGTCGTGAAGCATCACTATAAATTACAAAACCACCTCCATCTACCGGTAAAACAAGGATTGGGGTTGATGTTAATCTTTGTTTAAACTCTTGGAAGCTACGCTCACAATCATCATTCCACTCAAACTTTACCCATTTCCTAGTGAGATTGGTAAGTGGCAAAGCAATACAGGAGAATCCTTCCATAAACCATCTGTAATAACCAGATATGTATCTCTGTCACAGAAGTAGGTCGTGGCCAATCAACAATTGCTGCCACCTTCGTGCTATCCACAGATACCCCATCTTTACTCACCACATGACCCCAAAAGGATACACTGCTCAACTAGAATTCACACTTCTTAAACTTTGCATACAGTCTCTTCTCCCTAAGAATCTGTAGTACTACCCTCAAATGTTGCTCATGCTCCTCCTTACTCCTCGAATAAATTAGGATGTCATCAATAAACATTACCACAAATTTTTCCAGTTAGGGTTTGAATACTCTATTCATCAAATCCATGAATGCAGCTGGTGCATTTGTGAGACCAAAAGGCATCACCAAGAACTCATAATGCCCATAACGGGTTCTAAAAGCGGTCTTAAGAACATCTTCACCCCTTACCTTCAACTGGTGATAGCCTGACCTCAAGTCAATCTTAGAGAATACTTGAGCTCCCTGCAACTGGTCAAATAGGTCATCAATGCATGGCAAAGGATACCTATTCTTCACTATGACTTTGTTCAGTTCTCTATAATCAATACATAATCTCATAGACCCATCATTCTTCTTCACAAACAACATAAGTGCTCCCCAAGGTGAGACATTGGGCCTAATAAAACCTTTGTCTGGCAACTCCTATAACTGAGTTTGTAACTCACTCAACTCCAACGGTGCCATTCTATAGGGCGTTTTAGAGATAGATGCTGTATTGGGGACCATGTTAATGGAAAATTCTACCTCACGGTCTAGAGGAAGACCAGGTAGATCCTCTGGAAAAACATCAACAAATTCCCTCACTACAGGAAACTCTTCTAACCTCTGCTCTGGTTGTTCGGTACTCACCACACAAGCTAAGTAACCATGACACCCTTTTCTCAACATTCGGTTAGCCTGAAGGGAAGAAATAAAATAGATAGAAGACCCTTTCTTATCCCCCTAATAGAAAAACTCACGTTGCCCCAGCATACCAAAAACTACCCTCTTTCTAAAACAATCAACAGAGGCATGATGCTTCGGCAACCAATCCATTCTCAAAATTACATCAAAATCCTTCATCTCTAAAGAAATCAAATCCATTGGAAAAAATTTACCATCCATCTCTATCTTACAAGATCTACAAACATCCCTAACGCTACTGTTTCCCCTAATGGAGTAGACACAGCAACACTTGAATCCAAAGGCTCACAACAAATAGACAAACAACATAGAAACTTAGGTGTAGTAAAAGAATGTGTAGATCTTGAATCAAATAACACTTTGGCAAGTACAGATGATATAAGGATTGTACCTTGTACCACAGATGGAGCAGCCTCAGCCTTTTCTCTAGTGAGGGCATAAACACGTCCTTGGGTAGCCACTGACTTCTTTTCCTGAGTCCCATTCCCGGATGTCTGACCTTGGGTAGTCCCACTTTTACTATTATTCTACTTCTGGTTAAACCCACCGCTACAAAAAGTTCATCTCTGCCCTTGCCCCTGAAATGACTATGCTACTGATTGACTTCCCAGTCCCTTGGACCTACATTGTGTAGACAGATGCCCAGGCTTGCCACACTTGAAGCATATTTGAGCCATGCCATCACAATTATACCCAACAAAATGTGACCTACCACATTTATCACAAATCCTCCGATTTTGCTGCCTCATGCCATTGCTAACCTAACCCTGGGTGTAATACTTCTTGCTAGGATTGCAACCACCACCACGATGCTCTACTTGTCCCTCTTCCCTAAGCCTCTTATTTTGTGGTTCCTTAGCCTTTTGTTCCTCAACTTTATTTTCCTCTTCTGCCCCCTTTTCAACTAGTAATGCCTTGCTTACCAATGTAGAATATCTCTTCATCTCCAAAATAGCTACTTTTGCATAGATCTCTGACCGTAAGCCATTCTCAAACAACATCACTCTATCTTCCTCTATGGCCACCTGATGTGGGGCATACCTCGACAACTCCACAAACTTGGCTTCATACTGAGCCACTGTCATATCATTTTGCTTCAGATTGAGAAAATCCACTTGCTTCTGCCTTTGCACCGTTTCAGAGAAGTATTTCTCATTAAACAGTTCCAGAAACTTGCTCCACACTAGCTCTATTTCCCTACCCTCATATTGACGCTTCACTATACGCCACCAATGCTCTGCTTGACCCTTGAACCTAAAAGCTACAAAGGCCACCTTCTGGTCTGCTGAACAACCTAGAACATCAAATATTTTCTCCATCTCCAGTACCCATGCCTCTGCCTCCGTAGGGTCCACTGTTCTGTGAAATCTTGAGGTTTTACCTTCATAAATCTCTCAAATAAGGAACCTCTATCCAAACTTAAAGTTGGTGGAACTGCTGGTTGTGGGGTTACATGATTGTTCAATAATCCCAACAATGACTGTAAAACCTGTGCGGCTGGTGCAGCAGGAACAACTCCTGGTGCTTCAAGGACCACTAGAGCAACAGATGGTGCAGTAGGGGGAATAATGCCCACAGCTGGAGTAGTAGTTGGCGCTACTAAAGGTGGAATAGGAACAGGGGGAACTCTACGATTAGCAGCTGGTTGATCAGTTCCAAGAGCATTGACACTTCTTCTCCTAGGTGCCATCTCTTAACCTTCAAAACGAAATTAAGAAAAGCTCAACACAAGCTTAAACAAAACTAACTTAACCAAACACTACTAAGGACTATAGGGACTCGGACCTCGTCTAAATGATGAAATGCAAGGTATG